TGCCGTCGTTCATGTTAACGGAGACGACCCAGCCGGTTTTTGTACCGTAGAGAATGTGATATTTTCCAGCTATCCGCACCACCGACGGGCCACCCTCACGCCGGAAGAATTCACCAACACAACTCGGCACACGCTTGTCATTTAAATTCTCTCCATCCGCGATGCGCCAGACAACTGTGTTTGTAGTGCTTGTGACGCATGCCATGTACTCGTCATTAAAGTCAAAGGAATAAATGACACCAACGACACCGCTGGCAAAAATACGTGTTAGTGGATAATTATGAAATGTTTCATTTTCATTTTTTACTCTTTCTGTTCCTACTGCTGCTCCTGCCGAGGCGGGAAGAGTAATTGTATTTGGTGTATGCATGTAGATAGCTGCTGCAGAGCAGTATACAATGACATTCGCGTGGCTAATGACAGGAAGAGCGCAGTCCTGTTGACATCCGCCAGGAAGAAGTGCAACTGGACTGAGCTCTGCCATTTGCCGCGATTACAGTGCTGAAATTACTGCTCCCGTGCAACCGCCCATGAACGCAACACACATACATACAATGAGAGAAGAAAAGTAATGAAAGAGCATGTTTGTAAAATCACAGAGCAGCCAGCAGCAGCAAGAAGGCCGTCATGACGGCACAATGAGCGTCCAAAAGGCGAGGGTAGGGGGGAGGAAGGAAAAAAAAAAAAAAAAAAAAAAAAAAGTGGATGGCTGTCAAAGAAGCAAATCAATTTCTCACGCTACCCCACAGCAGATATAATAAAAAAAAAAAGAAAAAAAAAAAACGCCAGTAAAATTTGTTTGTGTGTCTGTGTGTGCGCAGAAATATCAGGGAGGAATTGTTACTTTTTCCCAGAACACGTTATTATTATAAGTTTCGTCATTTCCTCCTCTCTCCCTCTTTCTCTTCAATTCCTCTCGGTTGGTGGGTCGTCCCTACGTCTCCTCCAGTAAACGTTGCAACTCGTCCACGTTTGTTGAGACCATTACACACCATTGAACAACTTCCAGCAACTTTTTCATCCCCAACGTCCAGAGATTCTCACTCACGTCGCCGTGGCGTACAGGGAAACCGTCCACCTTGTCATGCACGATATCGTATGGCGCGTCAACCGACTCTATTGACTCCAAAACGGCGGTGGCAGAAGAGACCCACGAGGAATGCATCGTCCCCTGCTCCACAATGAAGCGCCGGTAAACGGCTTCTCTTAGAGAAATTAGGCGCTCTTTCATCCAAGTGGCAATTTCCCGCACACATGAAGCGACAATGACACATGCGGCACCGAAAGTTCTCCATGAAAAAAACTTCTCAGAAATAAAAAAGTCCGACGAGCGACGTGTTATCTGCATCGATGACCCCCGTGCGGGAACAAATTCCACGGTACTTTGCTCTCCATTCGGTCGCAGCACAAATGTTGACAGAGAAATACGATGATGGCCAATGATGGTTTCCAAGAGCCGCAACAGATATCCACATGCCTGATTGATTTCCGCTATACTTACAGTGTCATTGCGGCTCCCAAGAAGGCTGCGTGCGTATTCCTTCTGCATATGTAGTTGGTTCATCAGCATTGTTGACTCGAGACTTCTACTCATCTCCGCTGCAAATATGTTCTTTGACGGTGGCGCAGACGCGGCCCGGCGCTGTTGGGCAGCAAATGAGCGTCTCCGTGACGGCGCAGTTGTAGGACATTTTCCAAGCCGAAAACCCGCAATAGTGGCCACCGTTCCACTTGTGTCGATAGGGAACGCCAAAGACATCGCATGTAGTTTCGACATCCATGTACAACTACAGGCTGCAAGCTGCATGCGCAATGATACCCCAGACGCGGCATCTTCGATATCAAAAAAAGAAGCCACTTTCCGAGCGTTGTACCTGGCGATTGCTTCGTCCCACTCAAGCTTTACCGCCGTTCGTTGCTTTGATAGCACAGTCAGCTCATCATGAAGAGCTTGGCAAGCTTTCGCCATCAGTCTTGAATTCGCTTCCACCTCCCATACTTCAATTTGCAAGCGGTACAACGACTCCTGAGAGATGACATCGTTTTCGGTCGTATCAGCATTTGTGTACCTATTATCGCTATCGGAAAGTTGCCGTCTGTCTGAAGTTTTTTCATTACGATCGGTGATGCCCACTCCCCCTGTGATGCCAAAATGTGGTTCATCGCTTGCCACATCCCTCTTACGGCGTGGGCAAAAGCAGAGGACAAAACTTTTCGCATCAGGGCTGGCAGACACCGCCGAGAGGGCAATGATGTCCTCCATGATACGGGTCGTCTCCTTTTGCTGCGCCTCTAGAGAGTCTTTCCAACAACGCACACAGAGCGGAACGTTCGTGCGGCTCTTATGCACTACAAGACGCATCAGGTGTCGAGAAAATTCAAAGAGAAATGTCTCTCTGGAGAAAGTTGGGACGCACGGCTGCCCCGGCGAAGATGCTGTTGTCAGGGATGAGGCAACGCTTGTCGTTCCCGCTTTTTGCGCAGCTGTAGGGATCATGCTGGCGTATTTTCCCCCCGCGTGAGGCACCATAGACTTAATTTTGTGCATATTAAGAATGCGTGCCGAGTGTGGCAAATTTGCGGTTGCCTGTGCCGTTATCTGACTGATGCGCGGAGGCAAAACATGTCCCGCGGCAACGGACAATTGGGGAGAAAAGGCAAACGTTTCTTCTCCTGAAGCCACAGAAGAGGGTTCAACGCACGTAAAGGGACACAGCGGCGAAACTAGAACATCTGCATGTGGTACCGGAAGCTCGGATGCTGTTTGCGTTGATGCACGTCGATGCGTTGCACTCATTTGCATGGCCGAAGCGTCGGGTGTCGCAGTGGCTCGTGGCAACGGTTGCTCCGAACGAAATTCGGTTTGCTGAGCGGATAGTTTGCTTGAGGGCTGCGGTGGTGGAACGGGACCGTTGTGAAACATGCGCCATAGCTCCTGCATGTACACAACGGGCTCTTCGGGAGCAAACCACTCATATTGATATATAAAAAATGGTGCGAGACGCGTGACCATGCGATCTTGGGCAATTGTCGTGCGTTTCTTGTTCGATGTTACCGTCTGAGGCTCGCCACTTCGCACAAGAGACATATTTTTTCTCAACACGGCGTACCGTTCTTTCAGCCACGGCGAGAGTGGTGATGGTGAAAGCGGTGCGTACTTTCCCGCCGCAGTCAACAGGGATCCTTTGATCGCAGGGTGCAGTTTCTGCCGACGCAGGGTTTCGCGCTCCTCCCAGTCATCCTCCAAGTCAGCCTTTCCCTGAGAAGATGTTTTCGGCTCCTGCTCCTCCAATTGCTGAAATTCTTCTTCAAGTTTACGGAGAACACTCATTTGATCATCCCGAAGACGGCGACGACGCTCTTTTGCCTCATCGTCTAAATAACGTGTCGTCTGTGATGACATCAGGAACCCACCGGTAGATGACGGGGATGATAACCCCGACAACGAGAGACGATTTGCGGATGGGACTGGGAGATTCTTTTGAGATGTCATTTTTTGTCCATCAAGCGACACCGTGCGGCGGCACACACAACACGCAAAAAACGTGCACACCGGGGCATACGCCTCGTCTCCAGGCGTCGTTATGGAACTCCTCATGGGATTTCCCCCTTCACTCCTCACATTATTCATTCTAACGTGTGTGGGGTGAGAGGAACCAAACTACTAACCCTGTAATCTATGTATGTACGTGTGGGTATGCTTGCAGAAAGAAATAATACATATATAATTATATATACGGACTTTCCTCCTAACACCCACCTAACAATGTCTCAACAACAAGAGAGAGTAAAAAATGTTGGTAGATATCAGCCAAAACAAACAAACACACGCACAGAAACAGAAACACACACAGAGAGAAAAACAAACAAACAACAACACATAAATAAATGAAATTAACGGGCATGTTCATCCTACACGCTCTCATGGCTGCAGTGGGTTGCCCTCAGCCTGCTCCAGCCGCGACGCAAGGCCCGAAAGAACTTGCCGCACTGCCTCGTCCAAATTACCGCCATCTTCATTGTTTGTGTTTGGATGTGTGTTCATGGAGGAGATGGCAGTAAACGGCAAAGAAGTGAGTTTCACAGATCGAGGGACGTACAGCTGTGTGTTATTGCTCTCTCTGCTGGTATTCATTGTTTTTCTCCGAGATGGTGACAGGCGCAGTGTCGACAAATAGGCATCTATACGCTGACAATGAGAATCATCATGAGAAGTCTGTTCCGCCAACTCTATAGACAGTGACCGCACCTCATCCCGTAAGAGCTGCACAATTCGTGTCAACTCAATCTCCCTTTGGCGCAGAGCGGCATTGACCTCTTCTATTTTCCGCCGTGCCTCACGTTCCTCCTGGAGGGCGTCGTGGGCCGCACGCAACCGATCCTGTAGCTCTTGATAAACATCACGGCCTACAAAAGCGGTCGCCACATGTTCCTCATACTCGCGAAGTTGCTGGGCAAAACCTGCGGCAATTCCTTCGCGTTCCTGAACCATGGAGCGCAGTTGGTGGCTCTCCTCCTCTGCTATTTGAATGGAGGCGTCTTTCTGACGCATCTTTTGCCGAAACTCCGTGGCGGCATCACGGACGGTGTGCAAAACATAATGAAGTTTCTCTGCAAGCATCCCACGGCAATGTATGGGCTGGGAATTGACGCACGGCAAACCACGACGCGTCCAAGCACCGCCACCACCACCACCACCTGCAGCAGAAGCGGCATAAGCCACACCCCGTGAAATATGCGCTTCAAGCCAGAATCGATTGGCCTCCACGTTGTTGTTCAGCTCTGCAAGGGCTAATATTTGCTCCAATGTATCGTTTACTTCATGCTCTGCAGTGCCGTTTCTATCACGAGATGCAATGACAGAAAGAAGGGTCTTCAGCGGTGGAAGGTGGACAAACGGCATCCTCGTTCCCCCACTTTGCCGCCGAAGAGCCGCCGACACACGCGGCACAGACGCTACAAGAGAAAGAACATTTCTGGATTTCAGCATGTGCCACGGTGAAAGAGCAAATCCGCTCAAATCACGACCACTGTTTCTAAGGTTTGTGCTGTTGTCATCCTCATTGTATACGGCAAACATGACGTGGCGCCTACTGTAACGGGAAGACAGCAGATGCTGCATACGATGACATGCTATCACAACGGCCACAATGACATAAAATGAACGTCCATGATGCGAAGGTAACACACGGCCAATTTTCTGCAAACCCAACTCCAATTCCTGTCCTTCCTCCTCCTCCTCCTTTTTCATAAACTCCTGAAGCACTTGAAGGGCGGCCCGACAGTCGGTTTCTCGCGCTTCGTAGGCACGCCAAAGAGCATCCCGCTCCTCCGCCACAGTACTTAACCGCAGCGTCAGGACTGCCACAGCGCCGCACAGCTTCCTTAAGAGTTCATAGAATACGTCTTGATTCTGTATTTCACGCCGCACACGGGTCTCCAGAACATCTGTCATGCGAACCAAATCCTCACATCGATGGTGTAGTGTATTCAAGTCAAATTGTTTCTCACGGGTCGTACTTTGACCTTCGGCAAGCTCTGCGCTGAGTTCGGCAATCTTATCATCACGCGCGGCCAACTCTTGTTTTGCCGCCTCATATTCTTCCAGCATCTCACGTACTTGCCGCTGCAGCAGCCGTTCCTGTTTAGACTTGGCCTGCACATCACGCTCCGCAGCCTCCGCTCGCCGTACAAGAGAATTTCTTTCTAACTCAGCTGTACGCATGACCGCAGCAATTTTCGTTTTCAAAGAAGACTCCGTGTCGTGCGCCGCCTTCAGAGATGTCTGCAAACGCTTCACTGTGGCTTGATACCTTACGCGTTCCTCACTTATGGCCATCGATTGCCGTTGCTTCTCCTCCTGCAGCTTAAGAAGAGTGTCATGCTTTGAACGTGCCTCGCGTAGTTGTCGGATTGCGTTTCTTGTCGCCTGGCGTGTACGCCGCAGCAGCGTATACACCATTCTATCATAGGAAGGATCCAATATCGTCTCACATGTCATAAACTCCTTCCTGCCAAAGTGCCACTCATATGTTTGAAATGTTTCTTTTTCACATGCCATTCTTTTCCCGCGTTCCTCGCCCCGCCCCTCCATGTATTCCTCATGACTGTTATTGTTACTGCTACTGTCATCACTATTCTTGTCGCCATCCTCCTGTTTATTCCTAGGCTTTTCTTTAGTGCGTGATGTTCTGTTTCCCCTGCTAATTCGCATGTCGGTGTTGGTGGCGGCAAGCACCATTTGACTCTGTCGTTCCATAGCGCGGAGCAGCTGCGTGTACCGAATTTCCATTTGATGCAGCCGCTCTGTCGCCTCCTGCCTGGTGCTCTTTATCGTCTGCAGCTCTGCCAGATGTGCCTCTTTCATGGCATCTAATTGATTCTGCAGTTCCTTTTGTTTTTGGGATTCACTTTCCCTTGACATTACCTTCTCCTCCAAGCAACACCACTGCTGCTCTAGACGCCGCACAATAATTTCGAGTGTGGCGAAAAGGGAATCCATGTCCCCTCCATTCTCCACATCCTCTTCCATCCCTCGCTGCAGTTGTTTACTGTCGCATGCGAGGACTGACGTCAGTTGAGCACCACGTTGACTCACTACCGTCAACCGTTTACATGCCATACCAAACACCCGCCGCACCTCCTCCCGAAATGCTTCGGTGGATTCCTTCATGGCATCCATCTCCGCACGCCGACGGTCCAATTCGTCCTCTAGCAGAGTTATAATTGTGTTTATCTCGTCCCTTCTTGCAGCGTCACTGCCACCATTATCGTCATTGCCATGGATGATCTTTTTCTTGTCCATGTTCTTCGTTTCATCGTTGCCTTCTGCAGACTCGTCGATTGTTGTTTCTTTCGCATTCTGCAACGTCTCCAGCTCACGGCAGCGTGCTCGGGACGTACTCAGTTCCCCCTGGATCCGCTCCTTCTCTGCAAGTAGACACGACAGTTGATCCTCCATTCTTTCTTGTTGGCGGCGCCGCACTGTGTGATCCTCTTCTGCCTGTTGATGCAGCTGGCGGAGCCGTTCATTTTCCCTCCGAAGACCACCCACCTCGTCCTCTATGACCCGCAACGCCGTCTCACTCGCCCTCAACGACTTCCTCGTCTGACGCAATTCCTCTGCCGTCGTGGCAACATACGCGCGGTACTGCTCTCTCGTCTCTTGTGACTCGCCACTTGACTCAACAAGGGCGTTTTCCAGGACCTTCTGCCGCTCCAGTGAGGCATCCAACGCCGCCTGTAGTGTGCGGCAGCGACGTTTTTGCCACAACAATGCCGAAAGCTGCTGCTGCGATTCATGGAGAAGGATCTCGAGGGAGAGTGGACCGTCTCCTGACGCAATGGCCTTCGTGGTGTCATTGGATGCGGCAACAACATGCAATGAAGTTGTTTTCGGCGGGGGTGGCTCGTTTACAGACGGGACCTCCGTGCAATGTTTTCTTCCTGAAGTCTTCACGGCGGTGTCTTGAAAAGGTGACGTCCATCGCACTGCCGCAGCCCGTTTACGTTTTTCACGATCTTCCAATGTACATGTAAAGTGAAATGACCTGTGCGCCGTCTCTTCTGGCCGTTGCCCCGTGAAATTAAATGGATGTTGTTGCGTTGAAGGTACGTCACGAGGTGTCTCCATGCCTCCAACGCTGCACTCTACACAGACGGTGGACTCTTATTGATAAACAGTTATTATACAAATGTGATACCGTATGTATGCGTAAGAGTATCTCTCTATCTCTGTCTATGTATATTTATATATACCCTTTTCAATGTATTCCTCAATTATTTAATTTCCCTACTTCACCCCCTTTTTCTTGGTACCATACATGACTAATCTCGCCTGTTCTCTCCCTTATATCAGTATTTACACCTTTTCTTCTCCTTTTTATTAACACCACCTTTCTTCACTCAACTAAAAAAAAAAAAGGAAAAAAAAAATAATAATTGCCAAGAAGCACAGAGAGGCTCCTCCTGCACATGCTGCCAAAATAACATTACAGGAGTAGAAAAAGAAAAAACAAAAAGAGACGATGGAAGCATGTGTGTGTACACATGCATGCATGCACCTACTGGCACACACACACACACACATATATATATATACATTTATATTTATATCAGTATAAACCCCCGTCGCAGGAGACAGGTGCCAATTGTCATGTGTCGTAAGTATAGACGGAGAATAAAAAAAAAAAAAAAAAAAAAAGGGGAGGCCACCGTGGCGTAAAACCTCTCACCAACGCAACACCGCAGGTCTGGTGTAAAGGAGGCAAGGTCAATTGACATATAAACAGAGAGAAAAATATATATATATATATATTTCCTTCCAACGAGTAATCGTAATTATTTCGCATACATAAAAGGATAGAATGCGTTTCCTCTCTTCCTGTTCCAACAGTTTACACACGCTCTGTGTAAGGAAAAAAAAAAAAAAAAGAAAAGACAACAGTGCTCTACAGTAAAAAAAACAAAAAACAAAGCAAAACAAAAAAGCACGGCAACTCCGCCATATAAACAGCATACATGCAGGCAAGCAATTACACACATAAAAACAAACAAACAAACAAAAAACCGTAAACGCATCAATGAAGGGATCAAAGTGTGGCAATGGCAAAGTCCTTTTTTTTTTTCTTCTTTTCCTTAATAATAATAATAATAATAATAACCTCACAATTGTTACAAATGTATACGCGTCATTTGCCCACCGCAGCATCCGGCAACACGCAGATAACCCGCCCCTCCCCTCAAAAAAAAAGGAAAAAAAAAAATAATAATAAAATAATAATAATAAAAGAAAAGTTCCCCTTCCATCCTTCTTCTCTTACTTCCTCCTCTCATCAAAAGCATGCAAAAGAAAAGAAAAAAAAAAAAAAAAAAAAAAAAGGGAAGAAAATAAAAAAAGCCAAGTCATATGTGAATGTGTCCAACCTACAAATATACCGCACTAAACATTAACTGTAGACCTATCAAGATACATACACATACACATACACATATATTATAAAATATATGTGGGTTTCAATGCATCCTGCCACCGTTTCGAACAGGAGAAGAAGGAAGAAAGAAGAAAGGAGAAAAATATAAAACAAAACAAAAAACCCCCAAACCCCCACACACACAAAAAAAAAAAAAAAAGGAAAAATAACTCCATGTATATAAAAATCGATTTACACATCCATATATGCATGGATGTATATAATATATAATATATAATATGTAAGTATAAATACAACAAAAATTTATGCGGGGTTTTTCCACCTCCATTTTTGATGCTTGCGAAATATCGCCATTTCATCCACCCCCCTCCCGCCCCCCGCGCTTTTGTTTTGTTTTGTTTTCTCTCGCACATTCCATGAAGTACCCCTCAAAGAAAAAAAGCAAAAGGAAAAAAAAAAAAAAAAAAGAGGATCAAAGTTACTGCCTTCCTTCTCTCCAATGTTGATATCTCCATTCCAATAGAAAAATTTCTTCACGTCATCCCTTCTTTCTTTCAATTTTTTTTTTTTTTTTTTTTTTAAGTATTTCTGGTTTAATATAAGCAAAAAAAAAAAAAAAAGCATAATCAGAGTTTCTTTCTTTTAAAATTTTTTTTTTTTTGGGGTATTATTTCATTTACACAAATGCGAATGTATAAAAAAAAGTCACTTCATAAAATTTGTATTTTAGATCACATCAGTTGAAACACAAACACAGACACACACAGACAGAGACAGGGGTACATGCATACATGCAATATGATATATTCCCCCCCCCCCCCTTCTTTTGGTGCTTCTCGGCGTATGACGCCTTCGCGCCTCTCCACCGCTTCGTATATATAAATATATAAATACATATCCCTCACACGGAGCATACGCACATCCCTCTCGTCATTCCCCACTTATTTTATTTTATTTTATTATTTCCCCCCCCCACTTTTCATTTTTTTTTTTTCTTCACATCGATCCACTTCCCGTGAATTACGTCACGAGAAACACTCCCCGTCCGTCCATTAAATCAGTCAACATCATCGTTTAATCCTTTCCAGAGGAAATTTTTGTTTGCGTCTCATGGTGTCCTCATTCTTCTTCCTCTTATCGCTGAGAAAACCCGCGTACGCCTCAATTTTCTGCTTGTCTGAGTGACATTCCGACAAAAGCTGATGGACACGACGGGAGCCTTGCTGGGTTTCAGCATCATACTTACGGCGAAGAATCTGCTCGCGCCCCGAGAGGCGATCCATTTGTCGTTCAATTTCCAACTGTCGTCGTGTCACTTCTCTTGTCAGGCTTTTGAACTTTAGCGGCCGTAGTTGAGCATCGGAGGGCGGAATGAGCATCAAGTTAATCGCTTTCCTTCTAACGTGTGGAAGCATCAGGGAATTCGTCGGGTTCTTGGCACCTACACCACGTTTCTGTGATATAGACGGCGCCAGTGTCGATGAGGACAAGCTTCCTACAGAATTTCGTGTGGCTGTTGCATGGGAGATGGAACTGCTGGGCGAACCCATTGAGGTGGGTACGACACACTCGGAAAAGAAAGGATGAGGCTTGTCGTGTCGCGTCGATTTTCGAGGAAACGATTTTTCGTTGATTCCCGCCGCATTTGAAGCAAGCCGTTTGCTTGAGTAGTGTTGGAAGAATGGAGAGGCTACGGGCAAAGGAACTTTGACGGTCCGCAAGCTCGGTAAAGTGTGATGCTTATCTGCATGAGGCGACGCGGCCTCGTTAGAGTTTGTGCCCTCCGTCGAAGGAACATTTAATGGCGGAAGAGGCACCTTCGCCGGGGCTACTCCCGTCGGTCGCATCATGTACTGTTTCACATGAATGGCCGTGTGTTCAAGTGGAAACCCAGAAAGAATACAGTCATTGTTGACTGGTAGTGCCTTTGTCTTCTTGACAGCACCGTTCGCCTGCGAAATGGCAGGCAGCACAGCCTCATCATAATTGCCCGCGGCATCATGATTATTACTGGGAATAAGCAAAGTCGATTTCCTTGGCAATTGACGCGTCTCAGGCATTTTTTTCTTCGCAGAACCGCCATTCCAAGAAACAGTTCGGAGCTGGGGACTAGCACTCATCTGAACGGATGGCAATTTGTTAAAAAATCGATCCGGCTGAGCCATTCCCCCCATGGAGGTGTTTTCTATATCTGTAGGTGTCGGTATCAGTGAACTATGAGCCGCCTCCCGATGCATGTCTTCGGTGCGTTTCTGCAACTCCTGCAGAAGGTAGTTGACATGCTTCGCGTACTTCTTAAACTCAAGCGCTATACGATAGTGTCCATTCGCAACTTCCACATCCACCTCCTCAAAGGTATCATCTGCTAGTGCCTCTAGGCGCTCCTCACCCATCGCAGTGGGCGATGACAGACTTTTGGAGTTTCCAATGGCTGCAACCACGCCTTGACTATTCGATTCCCCTTGAGCAATAAACGCACTTCCTCCACGTTTGGGTGATATAGGGGATATAACTGATGCTGTCGACTGGGATAAAGTTGGAGATCCGGCCTGTTGTGCAATAAATTTCAATAGACTTTTTTTTCCGTCCGTAAGCGGTTTCGGCCATCTATTCACCCGCACGTATGTAGCCACCAGTCCACTACACCAGAAATAAAAGATACGGTACAAATTCATCCGCAAGGCAGCATTAAAAATGCCCGCCACAACATCATTTGGAAAACAATACACAAATACATAATACACGACATGTGGTACTATAAACGTAAAGGCCGTTAGTACTTCATCTTTTTCCTCCGCCAGTCGCTCAAAGGCCTGACCAAATAAAACAGCAAGACGATGAAAACAACGTTGTGCAAATTCAGCAAGTTCATACACTTCCATTTGTACGACCGTAAAGGCGTTTATGGCTTCGTTACAAAGAGAAATAATCGCCGGATCTTGCAGTAATGATTTATCCACAGCCTCATCAAAAGCTTGGATGATGTCGGCGCCACCACTGCCTGTTCTTGGACGTTTTTTCTTTGGATACTGAGAAACGAATGCAGTGCGTCCACTTTCCTCACTAACAATAGAGCCGGGACCACCGAGTAAATGCACGTTGGAGATGGCGGGGAAAAAAGGAGGCACCGCTTCCTCCACTTCCACTTCTTCCCGCGCCGCTGCCACTGAGTTATTTTCGCTAATGCTCTCATCAGTTGGGGCGTACTTCGCCAGAATACATCCAATTTGTTTAATGGTTGGCATTTCCGCCTTGTAACGGGGAAACGCCCCGCGAACGATACGTTCCAAATTAATGTAACGGCCAATGAGCATTTTCTCCGACTTTATCCGACGTATATGGGCAATCGCATACCAAAAGTACAAATAAATAATCTCGCAGCTCTCATCAAATTCCTTAAGGAAGCGAAGGATACCCACACCTGTCGCTTTAGTTCGCAATTCCCCACGTTCCTGGCTTATAACATGTTCAACGGCAACATCCACTGCAAGGGATCGGGGAAAAACGCATGCATCTCCCAAAGTTCCCGTCTCTTCATCAAATGTGGGAAGCTCCAATGAATAAAGGGACTGGGCGTCCTTCTTGAGGCGTCGATTGAGTCCTTCACGGGTTTCTCTTGGTGGTATTTTTAGCGTGGAATCTTCAGGTGTGAATATTCCCCCGTTCGACCCATTGCTGGTCGTTCGTTTCGTTGCACCTCCCATCGAAACTGAACTGCCCTTTGTTTTACGCGACCGTACCGTTGTCGCACTCACGAGATCCCACGTGCTGGATATCCATCTCCTGCTCCTCCTCCGCCCAAGGCGTCTTTCCGTTAGCCCGTTAGGATCCAGTACATTCTCACTGCACCACTGTGTAAAGGCTGACAAGTTGATATCCCCCAACTTCTTAATCGAGGCGGCTATTTTGGGAGGGTTTTCGTTTATTTGAGGCTCTGGCCGTGTCACAGGGAGAGTTCTACTCCCTCCCACCGTGGGGTTGGAGACGCTACATACATCATTGAGAGGTAAAGACGTGTTATTAGCCTCTGAAAACGGGGGAGAATAATTCGCATTCCATCCAGAGGTAGAGCTGTTTGCATTTATTTTTTGCTCCTTTTCATGGGAGAGCTGTGGTGTAGGTTCCCTGCTGTTTGCAGTCTCTGGCGGTGGTTGTGAACAACTTGAGCCCTCCACAAACACAACGGTCTGCCGCACCCGTGGGATTGAAGGTTCCAGTGCGGCTCCCCGCGGCTCTTCCAACCGAATTGGAAAGAATGGCGCTTGTTTCAACTGCCCGGTAGAATTCATTGTATCGTTTCCATCTGCCTTGAGTTCAAATGACTGCAGCGGAGAGTGTGACGATGAATTGAATGAGTTTATCGCTTTGGATTCAGATAAATGCGTGGGCGCACTATTCAACGGCACGTGCTCTGTCATGGCCTGACCCGCACGCTGCGACCCCGCTCCAGTCGCCATCGTACCAATGGGCTGCAACGGCTTTGCTCCCATTTTCACGTGCACCTGCTGTAGACCCTCGCCGGATGAAGTGAGATGCTGCAGTAAAGGAACGACTTCGGATGGCTGTCTTTTCTCTTGTTGTTGTTGTTGTGTAAGCCGCAGTGGAGCTAGAAGAGTGCCACCACTCCTTGGAGGTGGTGCGTCATCTGCGTTTAACCCCCTCCCATATTCCCTCATATCTCCCCGCAGCCGCAAATGTCAATTGCTACACTCACTCACCCACTCACACAGGGAGAAACAAACACACACACACACAACAACAACAACAAGAAAGACGCGTCGCGGAGTGCCAATTTCCCTCCTTCCCAGCCCCCCTAACTAAACAGTTCACTTTTTTTGATTAAAATAAAATATGTAACTGTGTTCTTATGTGAATTAAACGAAAAGTACCTCTCCCTTTCCCCGCACAAAACGCAGTCAACTAGCAGAAAAATACCAATTAAAAGCAAAAAAAAAAAAAAAGAAAAGTGAAAGAGAGAGATATAGAGAAAGATATGGGGGAGAGAGAGAATAAAATTAATAAAGCTATACATTTATTCAGAATTACACATGGATGCAAACTCATTCCAGTACGTATGCATCGACATTACAGCGGAAAGTGATGCACAAAAAAAGAAAGCCCATATATAGGCATACGTACACATACACACAATTTCTCTCTCCTTCTCGCTATCATGACTACTCCGCACATCATCAAATATGTGCATACCGACCCACTCATTCTTTCTAACAGCTTTTTTAGCACCCCCTCTCTTTCTTTCCCTATTTCATATACTCACCCCTCCCCTTTGCCAGATCCAACCCAACCCTCCCAACTACATCTACCCTTTTCGCCACCCCCGTACATGTGTCCACCGCCAACACACACACACACACACCAGTTAAACTCTTCTCCCCCATGTGACTTGTCTTGTCTGCATCCTTCCAATTGCGATCATCCACGTGTATTCCAATGGTAGCATCCGCAATTGTTAGAAAGAACGATAATAAGACGTCATTCCCATTCCCTCCTCTCTCTTTCTTTCACCTTCTCTACCTGTTTATTCCTACCCGCACCCAGCAAAAAAAAAAAAAAATACGTGCGAAAAACGGTGTGCACGCCCACAAAATCAAAAAATACGCACACATAAACAAAAAAGATAAAGGAGAAAGTCCATTTCACCTCACTCCTTAGTTTGGACTTGTCATGTGCCTCCACTCGGACTCGTCATGGTACTGCATGGGAATCTGCCATGTCGTCTTTGCGCCGTCACGGTTCACAAGCGGCTTCCAGTTCCAGAAAAGATCAAACTTGGCATGCTTCTCACGCATCTCTGGCCGGATCCACTGATCCAAGTAAATGTCATCCTCCTCGAGCGTCGGAACATTGGGCTGGTTCAGCACTATTTGTCGGTAGTGTGGCCAACCGGGTTCCGTCCCCATCGCACGGTAGCAGCCCCAGAGGGTGTACCATGAGTAGAATACCATTATACTCCACGCCATCCAATACGTTGGTTTTGTCGTCATATTGAGCCGCATGCCGTATCGGCTTGCCATCTCATCCATTGTGCTTTCCCACGACTCCTCCGTCATGCGAATACTTTCTTCGCGGGTGTATGGGTACTTTGGGTCAAAAATTTCCTTTGGGTACTCAAACCACTCAATGTGGGGGTTGAAGTCCATTGGAAGAATCGGCTCGTTGTGCGGCACAGCGGGGGGATGGGGCTGACCACTGCGTGTGATATCCTTCTGCTCGGTCGAAATGCCCCGCCGTGGGCTGACTGCTACAATGGCCGAGGAAGCGCCAGCAAACATGTCAACTGCGGAAACGCACGGCCGACGAAGCATTTAAACGGGAAAACCACAAAAACAACAACAAAAAACGCGTGCTGATATGAAATACAAATGAATGTATTCCGCCTGTTTGTTTGTGTACGCCGCTCTACCAGCCTGCTTCCAATAAAAACCGCAACAAAAAAGAAAAAAAAAAAAAGAGAAATTTCACGTCAATAACACCAATGGCGTGTGGCCCGTCCACGACAGCAGACATGTGGTACGATTTCTCACTCTTCCCATCCTATTGTAGCCGTTGTCGTTTCCCTCCAGTCCCAAACAAGCAAGCAAGCAAATAAACACACACAAACGAAAAAAAGACCTGCCGTCACAGTCATTTGGAAGGGTAATAAAACACACCTTGCTGCGTCTGACGCGCACAAGGCATCTCCCCCACCCCTCCAGTAATTGATGACGATGTCTTGTCTACTTTTTAAATTACTATTATTTGCTCTGTCTATACTTCTGCGTGTTTGTGCGTGAGTTCCTCCTGTCATGCAGCGGAACACATATCCATCCATTCAGAGAGAAAGCCGTGCCTCACTCAACACACAATAATAAGGCAAAATTTCCCTCAGTCGCGGACGAAAAATCTAAAAAATGAAGCCGTTGAATGCTGTGCGGTGGCAAGGGTAGTCAAAAACATCACAAAAACACCAGAACAAATAAGAAAAAAAAATAACTGGTAGATCCTTCTGTTTCATGAGGGTGGGAAGTAGTAAACGTTCACTGTCATGTCGTAATTGGCGTCAGAAAACGCTCCTTCAAAACTATCCGTCCAGCCCCCCTCCCCGGGTTAATGAGCGTACAGCGGCTTCTACGTAGAGGAAGTCAACATGTTAAAGATGCAGCTATATCGTTGAGGGTCTAAACGTGCGATGCGTTGTCTTGTAGCGGGGTAGAAGCAAGAAAGTGATGGGCAATTCCCCTACCAAGATTAATTTGCCTCCGCTTCAATGTGCACACAGGTGAATCAATGAAAGCCGTTATGTGTCGCTATCATTATCACCCTTACTTCTTGTTCTTCTTTTCTTCCATCCGTTTCACCCACTAGTAACAACAGTCAAATAAATGCCAAGGCTTCTAAAAGGCCTGCTGCGTCCTTCTTAAGACACGCGGCAACAGCTAGCCTTCGTGCTGTCTCTAGTCTTTCAATGGCACTGTAATTCTGCTGCAGCGCCTCCGAGAAGATAGCAGGGCACGATGAACACCCCACGACAGGATGCCCACTGCCACACGCCTCCTCTATCACATGAGGCTCACTTCCACGCGATGCAGTGGTGATGGACCCCGTGATGCTGCCACAAGCGGCAGCCGAAGCTTCTGCGGCCACCTTACGCTCCTTTAGTTCCTTCTTCACCTCCTCAAGGACATTTAGAAGCTTCGGCGCGACCGCAACACCGTCACACGTCATATGTGGCAGTGACACTGCCTCACCTTTATCTTCTCTCGGCACCTTATCATACTGTGAGGAAATATAAGTCGACTCATCCCCTCTCCTACCACGCGGAACGACAATGTCAGTGCGCATACGATTTCGCACGCCTCCATCACGCCCGCTCTCCGGCTTGATATCAGTCGCAGCCGGACCTTTTACTTGGTTGCTGGCGCCATTCCCCGAATCCAGAGCAGCTTCGGGCGCATTGGGCGCTCCCGTATCTTTTTCGCGTGACCGCTTTCGTGGAGAGGTCACATGTTTTCCAACCGAACCAGACGAAGGGCCACTTTCCAGCTCCAACGCAGGTCCGGTTGTTGTACTTTCGTGTGATGATGGCACCTTACTGGGGTTTGCTGCGCCGTGGAGGAACTTTTGTGCCCTACGCTCCAGTTCTTCCTTCTCTAGTCCACGGCGAAACGCCTCCGCCCGGATCCAGCGCCACATCTTCAACTCCTCCACAAACGCCTTTCCCTCCATCCACGCAGAAACCGTCATGTTGCCCACCGCCGGCAGTGAAAGCGGACGGCTGCACCCACCACAACCCTCCGCCACGTTCATGTCGCCATTGCCATCAACCACGGAGGAACTAAGAGTTTGCACAAGAGAAAGAACGCGCTTCGCATTGAGGAAGAGTGTCGTGGGAGTTGGATGCTCGCAAAACTGAATGTTGTGCAGCGAGACCAAAGCTGTCCCCCCTGTGTCCATTGAACCACCCTCGCATGGGGTATTAAAGATCGCATGAAGAAGTACCGCAATATCTTTCGCAGGAATGTTGCCAAAGGAAGCATACTCCCCGTGAAGAATGTCTGCAGCCCACTGAAGAATTGCCACACGAGCATAAATGCTGCCTTCCTGTAGATCCGTCATTTCTTTTTTTTCCCTTAAATCATCAAAAAAATAAAAAAATAAAAAATAAAATAAAAAAATAAAAACAATCGACAAGAAGTCAAAATAAAATAAAATAAATAACTGAACCAAAAGCAAACAAATAATTAAATACATAAATATAAATAAATAAATAAATAAATAAATAAATATATGAATGTATGCGTATATAATCAAATAATAATTAATAAACCACCGCCACCACCACCACGACAATGAACAACAACAACAACAACAACAAGAACAAGAACAAAAACAAGCCAAACACACCCAATACAAAACATACGTCTCAATAAAAATGCAAATTCTTAATGACATCATAAATTAAATACATCTCGCACACAAATACACCCGTACAGAAACTACTAACACGCAAAATAAACAACATCAAAAACAACAACAACAAAAAACAAAAAACAAAACTAATGAGAATACGGATAGACGTCATCAATAAAACCACAGGCACACTGCCCAACCAAGACAAGACACAGTCATTCCAATATAAAACCACCCCTACAATTAACAATCGCCTCCACGCCACAAAGCACTACTATAGAATGCTGTAAAAAAAAAAAAAAAAATTTGCCATTCACACCACACGCAAGACAAAAAACAAAAAAAGCAAACAAACGACAACAACAAAATGTACAGCACTACACACAAAAAAAGAAAATATAAAACCCAACAAAAATTACAAACTCCTATCACAACGCACCTCCTGAAGTCGCAACGCAGTAGGGCGATCCCCTGGGGCGGTGCGGAGACACGCCTCCAGCACGGTCCGCAGCGTTTCGTCTGTGTCTGCAGGGGTCGGCACCGGTGTCAGCAGCCCATTACGCAGCGCCTCGCGGAACGCCGTACTGTCGGCTAGAAGCGAGTCAAGCTCGTTCCGTGAGCGATCTAACGCCGCATTCGCACTCCACTGCCAGGGGTGGGAGTCTGTCAGCATCGCGAGCAGCAGCAGCCCCAGCGCGTACACGTCATTCGCTGCCGTCTTCGCACCGCCGGCAGCAACCTCGGGGCTCACATAGTACGTCTCTTGGTGCAGTATCAGCGGCGCGGCACCCAGCAGCATGCCCTTGAGCCGCCACCGCCCCTCCACACCAACCATCACATTCTCGGGGCACAAACGTCCGTGGATCACACCGCGCCCATGCAGGTGCGCCAGGCCCCGCAGCATCGACGCGACGTTCCGCCTCACGGCAGTCAGCGGCAGCTTGCGTCCGTACCGGGATTTCATTTCACGCAGAGTCCCACCAGGGACGTACTGCATCACAAGCACCACGCGGTGAGGTGGGACGTAACAATACGAAAGGTATTGCACCAGACTGTCGTTGACCCTGAGGCCCATCAGCTCCTCAAGCGCAGCATCCACCTCAGCGCGTGTCAGACGAGCGGCCGCATCAGTCAGCTGGCACACTTTCAGCACCGCCAGCGTCCCGGTGGCGGATATAGCCATGTACACGGGAGTGATGTCTGTGGAGGGGTCCTCGATCGGATTCAGGGCGCGCTTCCAGACGTTCCCCAGGCGGTCCCTAAATCGATGCGGCAGGCACCCAGCAGCCACCTCCAAGCTCACTGCGTCGCTCTCGGGTGCGGTCACCAACGGACCAAAACGGAAGGAGCTCGTCGCGCTGGCCGTCTTCTGACTGACAGTTTCCTCGCTGGTGACGGTGGAAACAACATCGCTGTGCGGCACGCCGTCATTCTCGCCATTCGCTAAGCGTGGTCGCCGCGCAAACGGCGCATAGTCGCCCCGTGACATACGCATGACGCACTCTTTCTCAAGCCGCGCTGCCTGTGACGACCTGCACAGCGGCGATTCCTCCGCCAGTGCGCCCTGCTCCACGGCTCTCGCCTTCTCCCACCACCACAACGCCGATCCGTACTCGCTACGCTCCATCATGTCGTACGCCTCGCTGTAACAGTGCTCGTAGTTCTGCCATGCCGCTGTGCCAGCAGCGCCACAAATCACCTCGTGCAGCTTCACACACGTCGTGGCTGCGTCCTCAAGGTACACCGTCTCAAAGGGCAGAAGGCGGCAGCGCCCTCGCACAAGCAGCGCGGTCTCTTCCGTAACGGCTGCCACAACGCCTGTGTGCGGCAGGAACCCGCCGAGTCGGTAGTGCAGGTTGCGACAGAGCAGCACAAAGTGGCTGCGACCGCCACCACTGATGACGCCGCTGAGAAACACCCCAGACTCCACTATCACACGGTACAGACCATCAAGTTCCGCGCACGCCGTCAGCTCCTCGCGCAGCCGACGAGCAAACTCCACCGCCTCCAAGGCCTCGGCCGCAAACTCCTTGCCCCTCAACTGTGCACCGAAGCTGATCACGCAGTAGTCGGGACGCTGCACTTCGAAGCACCCGCCGCAGTCAGTGGCAATCTTTACCACCGCCCGCATTATCAGCTCCACAACGGCGTCGGTGGGGTTGCGGACAGTGCGGGGGGTGTAGTACACATAGGCGACGCTGCACGTCACTCGCTTCAGTTCTTCGCTGTTTGACCCGTCCAGGCTGGCTTTATCAATTCCACACTCGCTTCGAAATGGACTGCCGTAACCAGCGGCCGCAACCCTCGCATTGAAACGGTCGGGCATGTACAACCGCACCTTGTCAAGACGACAACGCAAAGTGGTGCACACATCCTCCAGCTCCCGCACCTCGCGGAGCACAGCGCGACGACGACTCCTGGCACTCACCGGAGCACCACCCAGCGCAAGCTTCAGTTCTGCCCGTGTGGCGCGAAGCGGTATCACCAAGCAGCACTCCACAAACGCAACGCAGGCCACCGTCACCAGCAGCAACACCACAATACCCGCCACAATCGCAACATTGCGGTACAAAATCACGGGCCCCAAGTAGTAGCTGCGACTGGTGACAACCACAAGAAGAAACTTCACCCCACCCTGAACGTCAATGCGCTTCGCAGTGATTCGTCCGTCAAAGCCGCCGTAAAGAAAGGAGGCATTCTGATCGCTGCCACTGCTGATAGCGGCGCAAAGGTCCACGTGCTTGAGCGCCTCGCGCATTATGGGGTCCTCCACGTCCTCAACGTGCATAAACTTCACTGGATCGCCTCTCACGGTTGCCAGCCATGCGTTTGTGACGTTGGCGAGTGGTTGACCCCAGCTGTTTGCAACAACCAACAGTTGCTCTGCCCTGACATCCGGGTCCACAAGCATCACACGTATGCCACTTTCAGTAGGGCTGTACCACTGAATGCTCGCAATGTCATCCGTGAACATCGTTGAGTAAATGTAGCCAACACCGGTGCTGCCGTCTTCATACACCTCAAAGAATGGGTAGACAAACACAACATAGTTCGGCGGGTGGCGCGGCGTCACCCAATATTGCTCTGACAGCATCGGCTCACCCTTTTCCACCGCAGTCTTCCATTTCTCGACCACCTTCTCGAAGCGCTGGGATTTGGTAAAGTCATCGATGCTCATGGGGGGATCAACTTTTTCCAGGGGTTCCAGTGGGGTTTTGTACTCCAGTGTCACGGAGTCAACGTAGTAGAAGCCCTTAATGACACCATTGCGACTCACCGTACCCACAAAGTTGCCAGGGCGTGAACGAGAGTTAAAGCACACGGCAGCCTGTTGTCTCGTCAGCGAAACAGCGCCGAGAGAAGAGACCATCTTAGCAGGATCCATGTCGCGAAGAACAGCACAGAGACGCGACATCATGCCGCCTTCCAGCGGCATCAGTATGTCAGCCCGAAGGTTGGGGAAGGTGTTCTTAGAAAAGTACATGCTTCCTGTCGACACCGCCATGCGTGCCATCTTTGTCAACGTTAAATCTCCCACAGACTCCTCTATGCTGTCCAACACCACGTCATGCAGGGACAAAAAGACGCTTTCTGAGCTGCTTTTCGACGTTGCAAACGATAACGCCATCGTAACTGCGGCCACCACCAATAAAATCACCACGAGAGGGCAAAGCACCCAGCAGCGGAGAGAAAGCGTGAGCGTGCTCCGCAATGGGGGAGAGTGCCGTATCAGAAGATGTGCAGAATCCGTGCGGGAGAGAACCTCACGAGGAAACGATGCCGCTGTCATACGAACCTCAGACATTTCTTGCGACTTGGCATTCAGGTTAGTCATCTTGGGCAATGCTGGCACCTCGCCCTCAGCAACGGCACTGTCCATTGCACCCCACCGATCACAAACAGTCAAAGAAGCCTTCCCACTCAGACGACTAATTCTAGAACTCCTACCGTCCTTGCCAGCGTTGTCCGAGAGCCTGAACACTTTGTCCGCTCCCAGACAATCCTCACTTTTGTAAACAACAGCGCTGGACGAGGCAACCCCACGTGAGGACGCCGAAACTGCTTCACGCGTCGCCACGTCCTCTGTCTTCTGCAGCTCGGAGACGCTGGCATTTGCAGACTCTTTTTTTGTATCAGCCTTTACCGATGGCCCCTGACGCGCCTGCGACTCACAAGTCCGGAGAAAAACGACGTCGCTTCCTCTAGAGTCACGGATCCCATAATTGTGTCTCCGTGCACTGGCCATATGCATCGTTTCCAGTGCTCTTGACGGCTGCCGCTTGTGAGATGCACCCTCAGAGACCCCGCTCCCCTCCTCTCGACTTTGATTAACGTGTCTGCCGGGCCTCGATGCGTGTCCGTCGTCGTCGCCATGAAGGGGGGCAGAGCTCCTGGACGATGCATCGCTTCCCGCAAAGCGCATTGCGGTGCGCGGAATGGTGACGCTGTGAATAACTAACTAGTGTAAATGTTCTACGGTGAAGGGTGGTGAAACGGGTGGATAGACACACAAAAAAGGAACTGTGAAGGCAGCACGCACAGCCAGCACCTTCTGCAGAAGCAGTCGCTGGCAGCTAAAAAGGGCTAAGAAGGTGGACTGCGGCTCATCGACATCACTTCAACAACACCGTCACCAATGCAGCGAAATGATCGCCACACGCAGTTGCACACAGAAAAAAGTAAAAAAGAAAAATAAATCGAAAGGATTCAGTAGGCGGCTTCCCGCGCCGCCAGAAAAGGTTACATGGGGGCGGTCATTAGTAAACATCCGTGAAAATCACAAAAAAACAAACAAACAAACAAAAAACAACTAAAAAGAAATACTTTCAAAAACATAATACCAACAAGCTCAGAATATATAATTGATCAAAACATAGTACTAATAAATAAAGATATAAAAACGAAACGCAGTCAAAAAAAATTGGCGTTGGCCACGCTGGAATAAAAAGCAGCACCGGCAACAACACCGGTTCATTCTTGCACTTTTGTATCCACCTCAGATGTGCAAAACCCGACACTTCACGGGTTACATAAAAACAGAATATCGGCAGCAGTGGGCCGATCCCCTGGGGCGGTGCGGAGACACGCCTCCAGCACGGTCCGCAGCGTTTCGTCTGTGTCTGCAGGGGTCGGCACCGGTGTCAGCAGCCCATTACGCAGCGCCTCGCGGAACGCCGTACTGTCGGCTAGAAGCGAGTCAAGCTCGTTCCGTGAGCGATCTAACGCCGCATTCGCACTCCACTGCCAGGGGTGGGAATCTGTCAGCATCGCGAGCAGCAGCAGCCCCAGCGCGTACACGTCATTCGCTGCCGTCTTCGCACCGCCGGCAGCAACCTCGGGGCTCACATAGTACGTCTCTTGGTGCAGTATCAGCGGCGCGGCACCCAGCAGCATGCCCTTGAGCCGCCACCGCCCCTCCACACCAACCATCACATTCTCGGGGCACAAACGTCCGTGGATCACACCGCGCCCATGCAGGTGCGCCAGGCCCCGCAGCATCGACGCGACGTTCCGCCTCACGGCAGTCAGCGGCAGCTTGCGTCCGTACCGGGATTTCATTTCACGCAGAGTCCCACCAGGGACGTACTGCATCACAAGCACCACGCGGTGAGGTGGGACGTAACAATACGAAAGGTATTGCACCAGACTGTCGTTGACCCTGAGGCCCATCAGCTCCTCAAGCGCAGCATCCACCTCAGCGCGTGTCAGACGAGCGGCCGCATCAGTCAGCTGGCACACTTTCAGCACCGCCAGCGTCCCGGTGGCGGATATAGCCATGTACACGGGAGTGATGTCTGTGGAGGGGTCCTCGATCGGATTCAGGGCGCGCTTCCAGACGTTCCCCAGGCGGTCCCTAAATCGATGCGGCAGGCACCCAGCAGCCACCTCCAAGCTCACTGCGTCGCTCTCGGGTGCGGTCACCAACGGACCAAAACGGAAGGAGCTCGTCGCGCTGGCCGTCTTCTGACTGACAGTTTCCTCGCTGGTGACGGTGGAAACAACATCGCTGTGCGGCACGCCGTCATTCTCGCCATTCGCTAAGCGTGGTCGCCGCGCAAACGGCGCATAGTCGCCCCGTGACATACGCATGACGCACTCTTTCTCAAGCCGCGCTGCCTGTGACGACCTGCACAGCGGCGATTCCTCCGCCAGTGCGCCCTGCTCCACGGCTCTCGCCTTCTCCCACCACCACAGCGCCGATCCGTACTCGCTACGCTCCATCATGTCGTACGCCTCGCTGTAACAGTGCTCGTAGTTCTGCCATGCCGCTGTGCCAGCAGCGCCACAAATCACCTCGTGCAGCTTCACACACGTCGTGGCTGCGTCCTCAAGGTACACCGTCTCAAAGGGCAGAAGGCGGCAGCGCCCTCGCACAAGCAGCGCGGTCTCTTCCGTAACGGCTGCCACAACGCCTGTGTGCGGCAGGAACCCGCCGAGTCGGTAGTGCAGGTTGCGACAGAGCAGCACAAAGTGGCTGCGACCGCCACCACTGATGACGCCGCTGAGAAACACCCCAGACTC